TAGACGGTGAAACTACCAAACCACGTATCTCGGTTTTCGACGTTGCAGACTTCCTGTCATACTTAATTTTTTAAATGAAAAACTACTTAACATCCAGTCTTGAAAATTTCTGTGATTTTTCCTCTTTGTGCGCAGAAAATTCCGTGAAAATTTCAAGGAATGATATTGATTTGGTCTACTTCAAAAAAATAAAATGTGAGCGTAGATTTTTAAACACCGCAAACGAGATACGTGGTTTGGTAGTTTCACCGTCAATATGTGGTGAGACACATTGCAACTTTCCATTTTGGATACGTTATTTGTAGTGAATAAAAACATAAAATTCACATCCTAGAATCTACGACGTGATGATTAATCCAATTTTTGGCACTTAAGGACGATTTTCTCGAAAATTTGGCAACGTAGGGAAAAGTGACGAAGAACATTATGCATGTATTTTTTCACATTCTTTCGAAAATGTACACGATTTCTAGATGGAATTAAGTTTTACACATGTAAACTTGAAAAAATCCCTAAAAATTGGCAACAATGGACAGTTAGGCCTTTTATAATTCATAGAGAGCCATTTTTATGGCCAGATGTGAAAAACACGTTGAAAATTACCAAGGCTGCGAACCCGACCGGAACCCGGAACCTGCGGAACCGGCATGTTTCGGGGAACCGGAACCAGAATCAGGACCCGAGTTTCAGGAACACCGGAACCAGAGCCGGAACCGGAACCCGAGCCTCTGGACCAACGGAACCAGAACCGGAACCCGAGCTTCTTTGAACAGATCAAGCATGGCACCAGACCTGCTCGATAGCATACTACTGCTGAGGTCCATTTGAATAACTTCTTTTTCTTTTTTCAAAATAAAATGTCATTGCATTTAATTTGTTCAGTGAAATTAAAGTTTTAACATGGAATCTCTTTGGAAAATTTTGTTTCAAAATAAAATGTCATTGCATTTAATTTGTTCATTGAAATTAAAACTTTAACATGAAATCGTTTTTCGTTTTTGTTCTTGCAATTTACTTCTTCAAAACTAGATTCATTTGCCTCAGAACCTACAGCTGGAACCGGTTCCGGAACCGAAACCCGAATTCCTAGACCACCGGAACCAGAACCGGAACCGGAGCTTCTGGACCAACGGAACCAGAACCGGAACCGGAACCCGAGCTTCTGGACCAACGGAAGAACCGGAACCGGTTCCGAAAACCCACCGGGTTCCCAGCCCTGAAAATTACATATGTTACTCACAAACGGAGGGTGACTAAAGTCGAAAAACATTCAAAAGAGCATACCTTCAAGTAAAAAACGGCCGCTAAAATCGACATCCCGGATAATTTTCACATCGTGGGAATCCAGGTACAACTGTGGCGGCCAATCACCGCTCACCTCTGGCGACGCAGCCCATGCTCGCTCCTGAGTGGCCGACGCAGTCTCAACTACGGCTATATACGTCGTGACCACCCCGACTCTGGTCACTCCGCTCCCGTCAACCACACGGATCACATCTCTCATCTAGCGGACATCATGCAGCCGGCCGGCTTGCCTCATTCCAACGGCTCTGTTTAGCAGGGGCGGACTGGCCCTAAATTAAGTATGGGGCGGGCCCCTAGGGGGGTCTGGGGGGGTCCCCCAGTAGAAGGGGGGTCCGGGGGCACTCCCCCGGAAAATGTTGAAAATTAGGCCCTTTTAGAATGAATTTTACGCTATTTTAGACCCTATTCTTTAATATTATTTTTGAAACATTATCCAAAAAGAGACCAGAAATGCAAAACTTAGTATATTTTCTTAAACTGGATGAAAAAATGAGAATCCGTTGTATACTTGGAATTCAACTTTTATTTTCCTCTTCCAACGAAAAATTGTGCCAAAGCTAAATTAGTATACAGAAGATACATAGAATCAAGTAGAATAGTAATAGTGACAGTCTAAAAAGAACACATTCTGAAAAACACAGTTCGGATTTTTTTGTTCGTTTGTTTTTTTTAAATGTACTTTTTAGCCGCCAAAATTGACAACTGTCTTAATTTTTTTTGAACGTTTTATTGGATCCTTTCTTCGCTCTGCTCATAGAAAAATCAGTGCCGTTTACTAGTTAAATGACGCGTAATGAATGAATAAATCGATGGTTAAATTCTGAAAACACGTAACTCGGAATCCGCATCATGAACCCTGAGACTCGTAAGGATGCTCATGTTTTGCGTGTATCCTTATGAGTCTCAGGGTTCATGAGTTAATGATGCGGATTCCGAGATACGTGTTTTCAGAATTTAGCCATCGAAATAAAAATAAAAATGAAAATAAAAATACAAACAAAAAATTGACAAAAATCTGACACTTTGAAAATTATTGTGTTAATTAAACTGGAAATAGAAACACAGTTTTACGCCATTAACAGCCTTTTTAACTCTGTTGAGGTTGCCGCGATCAAGTTGATTATTATCTCGTGATCAATAGATTTGGTCAAATCTCTTTCTACGTACAATAACATCAAGTAAGTCAGTAGTTCTTGCCCAATTTGCGATCGAATCCGCGTTTTAATAAGTTTTAGTTTCGAAAATACTCGCTCACAGGTAACTTGGGTGCATGGTAAGGTTTTACTCTTTTTTGCCGTAAGACCTTTTTTTTCCTTGTTAATTTAAAAAACTGACCAAAATAGGGGGGAGGGGCGAGGCTTGTGTTACGTATTTATTTATTTTTTTTGAGGGGGGGATGGTTCGAGCTTGCGTTACGCGTTACGGAGGGGGGATGGGGGTAAAAAAATCGGAAAAACTGCGTTACGTATTATATGGACAGCCCCCATTATGGATTTCGCTAAAGGGGGGAAAAATCGCCGAAGGCCCCTACGAAATCCCTTGAGGAGGGTAGGAAAGGTTCCCTACTAGGGGCCTCCAAAGTTCAAAATTGCATAGAAATGCGCCCTCGAGGCCTCTCTGAATCAGTACCAAAGGGCCCCCGGCAAAAAGGACCCTTTTGTCGAATCGGCGATAAAGAGCCCGCTGCCTTGAAGGTCCTTAGAGGCGGTATAAAACCGCATCAAGGCCTCTTCAAATCGGCAATAAATGGTCCCTTGGAAACGGCAAAAAAAGACTCCTTCGAATCAGATAAAGGGGCTCTTTTAGGGTCCTTAGAAGCAGCAAAAAAAGGCTCCATCGAGTCTTCTTCGAATCGGCAATAAATGAGTCCTTCAGGGCTCTTCCGAAATGACAAAAAAGGACCCCTTTGGACTTATTCGAATCTCAAAATGCAACGCCCTTAGATACGGCATAAAAAAGCTCCTTCAGGGCGCTCTCCGAATCGGCCATAAAGTGTCCTGTCCTCTCAGGAGTCTCGGGGCCCTTTCTCGAGGACGTACCGAAAAAGCCCTCGGGCGCTTCTTCGAAACGGCGAAATACGGCCCTTCAAATCGGCAAAAAGGGGCCCCTCCGGGGCCCCTTTTGGCCGATGAGAGTGGGGCGATCGCCCCATCGCCACCCCGGCCAGTCCGTCCCTGCTGTTTAGGGCCACCACATTAGAGCACCTCATCTGGTCTTTGGCCATATTGGTGACCCCGACGTGAGTGAACACGCACAGCCTTATCGTCCACTTTATTCATGCATCCTCACCTCAAGAAGACGCTCAACCTTCTCTCAATCATCTGTACTCAAGCACTCAAACCCAAATATCTCACTGGAACAGTCATATCTGATCATCTTAGCATGAGCACTGAATATTTCCAGCATCATCACCGCATAGTATCCATCTCTCTCCGCCGCGCAAATCAACACGCTCCAGCAAGTTGCCGCAGAACATAGCACGTTCCCAACTTGATGTCCCGAGCATCAACCTCCTTGCCCGGAAAGATGATGGTCACATTTCTTCAACCGTGTGTCACCCGGGCCGAATGGCGCTCCCCGGCACGCTGACACACACCATCCTGCTTCTCACCACCCAGTCAATCCTCAACCCACTCAATCAACCATCCCTCAACTCTCCATCATGTGTCAATCCATTCCTCAAACTTTCCATCATCACTCTCTCAATCCTCAACTTTTCATCCACCATATACACATATTTACAAACCTGTCTCCACAATATCCAAATATCACCTCTCACTTTTCCAACCACCCCCAGGGACTCCGTCTCAACTGCAGGGAAGTACTGTGGCGGCCAATCACCGCTCACCTCTGGCGACGCAGCCCATGCTCGCTCCTGATTGGCCGACGCAGTCTCAACTACGGCTATATACTTCGTGACCACCCCGACTCTGGTCACTCCGCTCCCGTCAACCACACGGATCACATCTCTCATCTAGCGGACATCATGCAGCCGGCCGGCTTGCCTCATTCCAACGGCCCTGTTTAGGGCCACCACATTAGAGCACCTCATCTGGTCTTCGGCCATACAACTATTATTTTTTGATATGTTATATATATGGGTAAGAACTGTTGCGTGCGTTAATAAAAAAGTTGTACCCCACTTTCTTGGACCTTAGGCGTGGCAATTTATTAAATTTTTGCCATTTTTGGATTTTGGAACGATTTTTCTCGAAAATTTGGCAACGTAGAAAAAAGTTTCACGGAACATTTTCTATCCTTTTTTTGCGTTCTTTTCAAAAACGTATGCGGTTCTTGGTTTCAATTGAGTTCTTTGTGTGTAAAATTGAAAAAACCCCTAAAAATGAGCCAAATATGGCAACAATAGACCGTGCGGCCCCTCAAAATACATCGGAGGCCTTTACAAAGTCCAGAAACGGAAAGTAGGCAAAAAAATACGTAGGTAACATCTGCTGGAAGATTGATAACAGTCGAAAAAGTCGACGAAAATAACTATTTTTCGATGCCAGGATTTGGGTTTGAGGCGTTGTTGCACCTTTGCATGGGCTCCGTTCCGTGAGATAAATGGCATAAAGTCTACCTAGGACTAGTACTTTGAAAATATGAAACATTCAGCAAAATCCAGGACGGGCCGGAAAAGGTTCAAAACGATACTCCTCCATTGGCTTTATTTCGGTAGATTTGAAGAAATCAAATTTTTTCACTCAGAATTGATTATAATTACAAATGCAAATGTCACAAAAATCAATGATATGAAGGCAACTAACAAATTAATAATGCAGGTTGGTTCGATTTCACTAGATATTAGCTTCAACAAATGGGGGCATTAAGAACTACTTGGATTCCTTTGGAAACTACATTTTGATGAAACTCTAAAGCTATGGTCCGGCAAAAAGGATGAATGAAAGACTTATAGTACACTCTAAAACATAAATACATCTTTGAATTATCGTTGTCAGGTATATATTTGCTGATAAGTTCAACATTAATCACAGCAATAAGGGTAAAATTCCACATAAGCTCATAAAATTTAGATAACCTAAAATCAGGCGTAACCAAAAAATTAACATCAAATTTAAAGGTAGAAGGATATAAACTTGCAAGCAACATAGTAGACGTTTCAGGCACAACCGAAGTGTTTTCGGACCAAATTTCCTGCCAATGATTTATTTTAAAAATACATTTTGCCATAGAATCACAGAAAATGGTGCAGAAAGGTAAAGACTGTTCAGCTTGTAAGGAGAAAATCGAAAACTCAGCAACAAGGACTTTTGGTGAGGATTCTGGAACTAGGTAGACTCTTTTAAAATGTTGATCATTAGCAGCGACCTCAAGATCATACTTAAAAAGCCTTTTCAACGACTCAAGAAAGTCCATGGTATACTTAAAACAGTCACAGCCAAGTATCATTATTTGACCTTCTGTGGGAGAAGACTCCAAATCTTGGCTCAATTCTTTGAAACAGCAGCTTTTGACAACTGTCAAAGTGTTTTCAAAATTGGTCAATGTTAAATTGGTAGCTGCTGATTCCAGCATTTCAGACAAAGACGAGCAAAGTTTGACTTTTCTACCATTTAAGAAAGATGGCATTCCTTGTAAATACTCTTTATGAATAGGCCAAAAAGCCTCGGGCATGAAAATCTTACAATGTACAGACTGTTGCTTAAGTACTTGTTTGAGCTTTTGAAAAATAAAGTGAAATGCTGAATTAGATTTTGCAAATAAATTTAAAGAGTAAAGATAACTATGTAACTTTATACATGTAATCACACCATAATTGGTGTGTATTTTTCCCACAGTGAACAAATTTAATAGATCACAGTCTGTGTAGAATGTTCTCAGAGAGCTAGTTCTTTGAAAGATATGAAGCAAAGAATTATCAATGCAAAATCCTTTGTCATATCCTCTATAACCAACTGGACGGTAGTTCGGAAAGATCTCTACTGGAAATGGTTCAATAACCTTCAAGGCAAAATTACTCATGGCCGCCATTTCCACCACTTGCCAGCTATCATCATAGCGTCGAAGTTTAGAATCAGCACCTGTGCCACCCTGACCATCACAAAGTGTGATGCAGACATTAGATTCGTGCGAAACGTAATCAGTAACATTTTTAAAAATCTGACTTAGAAGAACTCGATTCAAATGAATTTTCATTTTCCCACCAACATGGGGAAAATTAAATATAACTTTGGTAAAAACGTTGGTGCCTTTGGTGAAATGCTGATCTAAATGGTTTACATCCACTCCAAACAACACAGTTACACCTGCAACAGATAAAAAAATGAACAAAACAATAACATCAGTGTCATCCAATCCACAAGCACTCAAAATGCTGAGCATATTCGAAGGACTCTAGCCCCTATAAAGTACTCTCGTTTCACCTCTCGTAGTCCCCAAGTCTCTGAGCCTGGTCCTCAGTTTGTTCGACATCCTAATGGATATTTTTAGTAATCGAAATGTTCTTTGACTGTTGCCATAAATTCCCTGACCTTCCAAGTTTTCCAGACTGCCGGAGACTCCACACATTTTAGCTAAAAGTCAGAACCATATTCAGATGATTTTATTTGGGGATCATTAGAGATTCCGTACGGAGTTCAGATACCTCTGCATTGTGTCCCTGGCAGCACAAACAGGACTGGATTTACAAATTTGATATTGGGAGGTAAGTAAAAATTGCCACTATCAAACTTGTGAGAAACCTGAT